TGAGCAAGATTGCCAAAAAAAAAAATAAATAAATTATGCTAAAATTAATTTTAAGATAACTCAAGAACTATATATACTACAGATATAAATTATAGCTTATTAGAAAGATCTAATTAAATAAATCTAATAGTATAATCTAAATCTATTTGTAGCTATTAAATTATTAAACAAAAATAATAATAAATAAATTTAAATATATTATTACAAGTATATAGCCTTTTTAATACAATGCAAGTAATATAAGATACAAAAAAAGAACTTTTAATAGTATCTAAATAGAATATTACTTCATTATAGTAGTTTATTATTTAGTTTATAAAAAAATAAAGATTATACTATATTTACAATACAATATTAATAATACAAAACTATTTATTAGTTTCTGTACTAAAAGAATTCTAATATTAAAAAGATTGCAGAGAACAAATCTAATTTAAGATAAAGGAAAAATAGAAGAATTATATAGCTTTTTAGAAAAAATAGAAAAAGTAGAAAAGGTAATTTATTCTAATATTGTTTCTAAGATAATTTAATAACTATACATCTGTACTTAGTATTATTATTGGATAGCTTTTGAATATAATCTTAAATATCTTAAATATTTTGAACAAAAAAATAAACTAAATTTACTTAAAATTTTATTAAAATAATAGAGCGTTACTAGATGGTGACCTGTCACCATAGTGACCTTATAAGTAACCAATCAAATTTTATCACGCAATAATAGTAAAAAAAATAATTTATTACAAAATAAGTTAATAATAATTAATGTAACAAATAGAATAGATAAAAATAATCTTTATAATCAACGAATAACACGAATAAAACAATATTAAAGCAAGTATATGATCAAATTCATAATGATCAAAGACCTTTACCCAGTTGACATTTCTGCTATAATAACATCAAAACTACAATATTACTACTTAAATAGACTCTTGTTGCCTGATAAAATTTCGGAACATAAGGTATGATCATAATTATTGCTTTGAGACAATTCTAGATCTGTATATAAGATTGCCTCTTGCAATATATTACCCAGTAAAATTAGCATAAATGTATCCTAAAGACATGTGAATATTCTACAATTCATACGAAATAATCTTTAAGTAATTGTAATTTAGTCTACCTTAATTGTTTATCAAGACTTCTATTATAAGCATACTGAATCATAATCATGAATTCATTTGAATTTATACCTTGAGTTATTCTATATATTTATACAAATTAGTTCAGTGAAACTGTTAGATAAATTAAATAAGTGCAAATTAACATACTTCTTTCAAAATATTCCTTAGAACTGGGTATAAATGATAGACTTTAGTTCAGAAATCAGAAGCAGAGAAGTTATTTTCTGTTACGCGTGAATTGCCTTTTTGTCCGTAACTTGGGGGTTTTCTGGATTTCCCTAGGTTGCTATTACTTTACAACAGGATAGGAAATTTGTCGTAATAATAAAATTGAATTACTTGCTAGGTCTTAAGTGCAATGATACTGGATAATTAATATACTCTTGCATAATTATATTTATCACTATTAATTTCTCGCATATTATCTAACCAGATTGCTGAATATACAGAGCCAAATTCTCGTTTGCCAATTTCTTTAATATCAAATAATCACTATATTTAAAGTTTTTTTTTTTATTTCCCTAGTGAAATCACCATAGGAATGCCGTTGGTATATGCACCATATTTAAGTTGAAATTCTCTGGTAAGTGCGAATGAAATAATTTGAAAGGTATTTCTAATTACGATTTGCTAGTTTTAATTCTTGATAAATAATTTTGATACTCATAGACTAAATTAATGTGAATGAGCTTGAATCATAAATTACATGTATATTAATTATATTCTTGGCTTACTCCCTGAGATTCAGTAACTTATAAGCTATAGAATCAGAATCGATTGATGGCAATTTCTTGGAAATAAAATCGAAAGTAAGAGATCTAGTATGAAGAATAGTTGAATACGTTTGGAAGGATTTCAGAAAAGAATCTTGACCCACTTCAATGATGAAATTAAAATCGCGATAGAGTTTGATAATAGTTAGAAGGCATGCTTGTTACAAAATATAACAAAAATTAAAATTAACCTGCTTTTTTGATTTGTTCCAAAATTTATCTTCATCCTTTTCAATTTTAATTCCATAATACAGTAATTGTAACAAGTGACAGTTTTAAAGATTCTATTAGTATTATTCATTTCAGCTGATTTTCTGTAATATTCAATGCTTGATATTTGTTCATTTCAACACCAATTCCATGATTATAGCAAAAACTGGCTTGAAATATTCTGCTAGAATTATTCATATCTGCTTGTTTTGATAGTGAACGAATATCTTATACTCATCCCTTTCAATATCAATTCCATATTCATAGCAATAACCAAGCTCTATGAATTTGAACAGCTTATTGAGAGAATGTAAAAGATAAAACTCTATAAAACTTGGATAGCTTACCTTACTTTAAACATATTGTTCATGCTAATAACTAATTAACACAAGAAAAATAGAATTAAATATGAGCTTACTATAAATATATTTATTAATAAATGCTAGTACTCACTGGCAAATTTGAAATATAATTAAGTGATTCTGTAAAGGTAAACTTAGTGAATTCGAATAGTCAAACATATTAATAATGATATTTATGCTCACTAATTGGTAGAAATAAAATTGAATTAAATAAGATACTATGCATACTATGCAAGTATAAAATTCGATTAATAAAATATTTTATGCTAATTAGTTAAATTGGAAATTAAATAAGTTACAGTGTAAAGAAAAAACTCTACGAATTTAATTAGCTACATTAAATACATCGATTAATAATATTCATTATGCTCGCTGAATGAATAAAATGGAATTAAATAAGATACTTTGTGAAGGTAAAATTACATAAACTTGGATAACTTACTTTAAGCATATTAATCAGTAAATTTCCATAATTATCACTAGCTAAACTTTTAGCGAATAATAGAATTAACTGATGCATTTTTTAAAGGTTAAGCTCTATGAGGTTGAATATACGATTAAATTAGAAATGAAATTAGATAAAGAAATGAATTTGAATAGCATACAATACCTTATAATTAATATTCTTTATGCTCACTATTCAAATGCAAATAAATTGAAAGTTCTTTATACTTCTGACTAACATGATAAATTGAAATTAATAATACTGTAATTGTAAAATATTCATTATTTTTATTCATTTACATTAAATATAACTTAATAAATGTTTATAAAACTGTCTAAATTAACATGAATAAATGAGATACTATTAAATATCAATTAATGATTGTTCATTAAATTCACTGATTAAATTGATGTGAATAAAATGAAATGAAATACAGTGTATTAGATAGAATAACTTACTTTATAGTTAATAAAGATGCTATCAATACTAACTTAAAGATACAGTCATGATAATTATTCTTGAGTAAAGTTCTGAGCAGGTTAAAAACTTTATAAGAAATACTTAGAAAAAGAAGCCTAAGATTTTAAATTAGTTGAATTAGAATTGAAAGAAAAAACAATTATCTCAAAATTACATTCTCATCGCTTAATTAATGATACAAACAATTTAAATACATACTATTCTTTTCTTTGCTTAGCACGCTAATCCAAAATTTAATTATTTGAATCGGCTTTTCTTATACTATTCATTTAAATATATGCATGCTATAATAATATATAACCGTATCTAGACAATTGTAAAACTTTGTTCGAGATATGAATGCAGCTATACGATTAATTTGATAAATTTTGGTAGACTCACAAGTAAATTCTCATGATGTTCAAACCAAGTCTTTATTCACGTATAAACAAAATGATTGAAAATATTAATTAATAGTGCATTCTTAAAAAACAAATAATCTTTTAATGCACTTATTACAAGCGAATGAATGAATATTTCAAATAAAGATATGATCTTTGCGCTTAACATAAAAATGTACAAATTTGAATTTTTTTTAAACAGACTAATAAATAATAAAAGGAGTTGATTAATAATATGCTTTTGCGACTTGTGATTTTCAAATATACTGGTAAATAATCTTTATTCTTACCTAAACCAATGTGAAATAAACTAAGCAATATTAATTTCCTTTGAATTTGTGTTATAGTTTTTAGGTAGACTAGTGAAATGTATTGATTAGAAATAAATTTTTATAAATGTAATCTCTAATTAAACATACTAATATTCTTGTACTCACTGAGATTAGAATAATAAAGTTCACCTATAGATTGTCATTTTTAAGTGTACTATGAAAAGAAGTAGGTTGAAATTACTGCTTTAATAGATTACAAAATCGTGATTGAATTCAGATAACCCGTTATGTTTTTATCTGAATAACTCATGAATATAAAGTAGTCATTCTGATACAATCTCTATTACAAATAATTTTTTCTCACCAAATTTAATATGAAAGATTGATTTTGACATTATTTCTTTATTGCTATTTTAAAATAGATTAACGAAAAAGAAACATTAGAATAAACTATTATAAAGACAAATAGACCAATATAAGACTTCTACTCACCAAAACTAACACAAAAAATCATAATTTGTAAACTGTATTAACGTCAAAAGAAAGCTAACTTATAATAATTCTTAAGAAATTAAATTCTGGTTTAAACTGACCAATATATGATTATCAAACCTAAAGCAGAATCCATTGAAACCAAGTAGTTTTGAATATTTAAAATAAAAAAAAGTTCTAAATATAATATTAATTAACTTCATCAGAACTATGAAAAGTTTAAATTTGTCTCTATAACATCGTAAATACATCATTAAGCTACAACTAGTAAATTCTCTACTTTTATATTATTGTTAACTTAACAATTATAATATTAGAAAATAGTTAGAAGTAATATATAATATCATATTAATATGTGTAAATTATATTACTTACCTTTCTATTTCATTTTTCTGAATTTTTTTCCTTGCATGTTTTATAATTGTGGCCTTTTTTTTTACATAATTTGCACTTGTACTAGGTCTTTGTACTAGATTGTTTCAGGGAACTCGTAATTCTCGTTGACTTGGGACGACCTTTTGGTCTTCGCTTAATAGGATTTCGAATATTCATAATATTATTATTATCATCAACACCATCACTAATATTATCACTAATGTCATCGCTTTCACTAACAATTCTTCGTGATGATCTATTCAAGATTGTTGAAAAAACTTCAAGAAGTTCATAATAGTTTTCTTTATTTTCATCTTCAATTGCATCAATAATTATTTTTCTTCCTAATCCCCAGAGTTCACCAAATTTACATTTTTTTGAAATAGCTTTGGTTATATCATCATGTGACTGTCTTGAAACAGCATTATTCGCAACATTTTCAATATGCTTAATATATGATTCACTTGAACTTAAGAATTGCAATAGCAAAGAATAAAGTTTTGACGTTGATCTTAACATTTCTAAAGCAATACTGACAAACTCATTATTGGATATATTAGTCTTCTGCAAAATGTTTTTATACCAATGTTGATTTACCAAACTAATATGAAATCTTGCAGTAGGAGTAAGAGTCATTACGTAGTAAAAATGACGATATGGATAACCATGAGACCTGATAATCATACAAGTACAAAGGAAGGTACTATCATCTAAGAGATATATGAAATAGGAAGTGCCAGAACCTACTAAATACAAAACTTCCTAGACTTCAAGAATTGCAGAAGCATCATTTAGAAATGAACTCAGTTTTACTTGTGGATAGTTAAATAAGTTATCTATAAACTGGTCTGACTTATTAACTTTCTAAAAAATAACAATTTAAAAGAAATTAATAAAGATATCGAACTATGAAAAATTTTTTATATTGAAATTATTCGAATTAGATGTAGTATATTACTAATCAAATTATAAATCTTAATAGACTAAACAAAAACAACATAAAAGATACAAAAATAAAAATTGATATCTAAGTTTATATTTTGGATACTAATAAACACTGGTGTTTTATACACAATTGCTAGCTCCAACTCTAACTCCTGATTAATCTTATATTAATTTTTATTAGTAAGCAAACAGATAATTACACTTAACTTAAATGCTTTCTTAATATACCTACTCTGCTAATTAATAAGCACTATACTCATAAAATCTTACCTTTTCTTTAGAAAGTAAAACTTCAAAATCAATCTCCACAGCATGATAATATAAGCTTAGATTCATTTGCTCTTCCTGATTCTTTATTATATTTGGTATTACAAATTCATCTAATTGTTGTATCACTAGTTCGAAAATAGATTTTGAAGTATTTTTTGGTCCTATTTGCGGTATAGTTTGCTTCCAGCTAACAAATTCACAGTAATCATTCTCCTCTTGATACCTTTCTTCTAAAGCATCAAATAACTCACACAGTGAAATGTTAGAACTTTCAAAAAGATATTTTAATGTAGAGTTTTCACCTTCATTTCATGATGTTAATTGTGCGCTAGCAGTAAAATACCTATTAGTGAATGCACGCACCCATGATTGAGTACTACGCCTTAAAGATCTCATCAAATAATCTTTGGATTGGGGGTAATCCTGCAACAACTTATCCCATCTTTAATATATAAACAAAATATAATAGTTAAATAACTTTTAATTACAAAATCTTTGCTAAATGATACAAAATTAATTACATTAATATAAAACCTTTGTGTTCCAATTGGGTTAGCCAAAATAATCCAAAACTGATCAGTTATAGTAAGTTTATTATATGGGTTATGACCCATATAATAAACTTACTATAAGCAGATCAGTTTTGGGTCATTTTGACTAACTCGATTGGAGCATAATCACAACTATTTACTTCTTAATAAATTGTTCTTCTGTTAGACTGTTCCGTATTATATAAAAATCTTTCATAAAGTCATTAAATTTAGATCCTAGTATGCCTTTTAAATGTTTGGGTAAGTTTTGGCTTATATGCCAAATACAGTGCATGTGAAAAGTATCAGGAAATTGAGTTGAAACAGCACCATTGACCGCAGAATCACCATCTGTTATGAAAACTTTTGGTGAAATACTAGTTGATTCCTTAACACATTTAAAGACCCATTCATATGAAGATTGCGTCTCGTCATCAACAATTGCTTGAGCTACAATCCTTGTTTTTAAATTATTATCAGATGCAACAAAAATCGATAAGGGACGATCATAACGATTAGTTTTGCATGTATTATTATGTATAATTACATCGTAATAATGTAACTACAAAATTTGCTGCTTGGGGCTCATCCAAAAAAGATGAGTTAAAGAAGAAGTATCAGGATTAAATTTTATCAAAACCACCTATCGAGGATCTTCAATTTTTTTATCATGAAGCCACCTTAATAACATTCCTGTATCTTCCTCACCAGATGCTGAATTGGACAAAATTTGTTAATAGCATTGTAGAGATCCCGTTTAAATATTCTAACCTTAAATTTCTCCTTAATTATTCTATACTACATAGTTGCATCTGCCTTAGCAATAACAGTCAAAAAATGAATTTCTTCTAAGATTTTTTTTGGCAGCTTTTGTAATGCTGAATCAAAACGATTCGCTAATGAATTAAGTTCATGACCTGTATGTTGATTATTAAATGTTGTAACTTCAAGGCAATTTTTGTTCTTTTTAACCCAAATGTTGATTTTCCATAGACATCCTACTCTACAAGAAGGTCCACTTGATTCTAGTTTTCTACTATGGTGATACAAATAAGTTCTTTTTAATATTTCACTAGTCGTTTTATCTACTCTTCTACCACTACTAATTCGTATTTAATGACCTTTAGCAGAGGCATAATCTTTCATAAAATTTTCTACATGACTCCAGTTTTGGAAAGTTTTACTAACAAAAAGTTCAAGAGTATCTTTAGTATTAGCAAATCTAAAGAGTACAAAAAAAAAGATATAATAATGGTAATTATTCAAACTACTGCAAACACTATATTACTTACGTATCAGTATCAGAAAATTATCTAAACTATCATATGCTGATAATTCCTCAAAATCTATATCTTGATCATCTGGCTCTTCCATACTTGAAATACTAGGAATTATAATTCTTTATAAAAAAAAAAAAATTTGTATTAAAGTTGAATTTGAATTATTGATGATTCAACCTAACTGACTCTAAGGGTAAATTTTTTTTTTTTTTGTTTCTCTAAATAAAAGGGATGCTGGTTTTAATCTTATTTTGACTGTTTATTAAGTCTAGCTTCTTTAAAGAATTAATCTCTGTAAATTACAATACAGACAAATAAAGATTAATAAACTAATCTTAGAGATATCTTCAGCTTTATATACAAATAAGATTACTTGCTTTTTTTTTTTTTTTTTTTTCTTTAAATAAAGTATGCTGATTCCTAATTTATTCAGCCGTTTATTAGTTTAACGTCTTTTAAAGAATCAACCTTTGTAAATTACAAATTTTAATACTATAAGCTAATCTTAAAGATATATCCTTTTTTACCTATTTGAAATGGGATTACTAGTCTTTTTTTTTTTTTTTTTTGTTTAAGCTTTATTTTATCGGTTCTTAAATATGTAAATTGTAAGGGTAAATAACTAAACCAAAAAGAAATATTACTATATGAACAAAAATCGAAATTGACTACTACATAAGTAACCAATCAGAAAATGTAATTCTAATATTCTGAATTGATCTAACAAAAAATTGACGTGTGCTAAAGGCAAAAACAAAAATGCAAGAAAAATGTGTCTAAATTGCTTTATAATACTAACTAAATAAAAATATAGCTTTTTCATAAAAGATTTTTTTTTTTTTTTGAACTATAACTCTAAAATCCTAAGTGAGAATTTATTTGTTTTTTTTTTTCAGGTAAGAAGGGCATATGCGGTATAGCTATTTCTTGTGTCATATTTCTTATAGAGCACATTAAAATGAAAGAGATATCATAATGTATAATTTATAATGATAACCATGGCAGATAGTAGCAATAGTTTTTACGAAATCTATTTATTTTCTTTTCGATAATGCCTTTATATATATTTCTAATTAAGCTATCAATAATCGATATTGTTTCGCAACTTTTGTCTTCAAACTGGTTTTGCTACTAAATTAGATTTATTAGATTATATGTATTACATTTATAGTATCACTCACTTCACTGACGTAATGTCGACTAAATGAGCAAATGATTGTTAGTAAAATGATACGAACCCTTATATTTATTATTTTAATTATCTTACAAAGCTTAATCTGATTAGTTAATCTTAAAAGGGTCACTATGGCGACGGGTCACCATGTATAATTTTCCAAAATAATATATTTTATATGAATAAATCTTAATAAGATCTATAAGCAAAGAACCTGCTATTGACATATAGAATATTAAGAAAAAATACAAAATTCTTAATAACTTCTGTTTTATCAATCCAAATTAAATGAAACAAATACTATTAGATTCAGCTCATCGAGATAATTCCAATGAATCTAAAATCATTAAAATTGGATTACTGTATACTGAGATAACTCAAATAATATGATTTCTCTTAGTAAATCATATATAGATCACATGATTGGCTGCGGATATTACAAAATAGACGGATAAACTCATTTTATTTATTTATATTATTTATATATTATATATTTTATTAACTATAGTCTTTAAAATAGAGTATTATAATTATTTATACATGTAAAATATCTATAAAAGAGCTGGCTTTTGACCTTTCTAAAGCTCTTCAGTTTGATTTGGTTTAAATATGTATTCTCTTAGGAGTTACTTACTGAATAAACTTACTTATAATGCTGTTATAATTATCTTTTAACTATTATGTTAGTTGAATTCTATTAACTATGTTAATAGTTAATATTTAGTATGTGAATATTTATTTATGTCTTTATACATATTTAAGCATGTTGCTTCTTTCAATTGCCTTACCATCTAAATCCTCTTTGTTAAGTCATTTTTGGACGTCTGTAACTATTTAAAGCTATAAAATATTATAGTCTTCATACTATAATCAGCAGTCACTAGGAATCCTTGAAGAGGTGGATCCCTAAGGTTGACAATTTGGTGGTGACTGTGAGATAAAGTTCTCATTTCCGAAGGAAATTGCATTCAGTCTCTACTATGACAAGTCTATGAATTTTTATCTGTTTGGCTTGAAATTTCTACCACATAATCTCGAAGACCTATTACACCTTTTGTACTAAGCAACATCTTAGTTGAAAATCTCTCTAGAATCCAATGTTCGCATACAAAGTTAATAAAGCTGCAGAGCTAATTGATTTTAGTTACTCATAAGAAAGTCTATCAATTTAAGTCCGTTTAAGTTGAAATTTGGATTATATAATCGTGAATACCTGGTGTATCTTTTGTACTAAGCTATATCTTAGTGGAAAACCTCTCTGAAACCCAGGATGACCTTCCAAAGTTGTTTTAGCGATTTTAAACGTCTCTTGCAAATTCTTTGCATATCCTTTTCTTCTCTAAAGTCACATGATACGAGGCCAAAACTCCAATATCTCACCATCCAGATATCCAATTAACAAGATCACAACGTCTTTAGGATCACACAGACCTCCTGAACAATATTCCTTTAATACACAAACCCTGTTAGCATAGTAAAATTTTGAGTAAACGTCAAATCTTAAAAAATTTGATCAAAAATCACTTTCTATCACTACTATATAATATTTTCATATTATTATATACGTACCATATATCTCATTATTTTTAGGTTACTATACCTGCCTATAATATAAATAAGAGATAATATCAACATAAAGTTAGATCTTTACTATAACTTTTGGTTTGATCTCAATTTTGATCAAA